TCGGTTTCTTCAAACACATAGTCGTACCGTAGATAAAAGCCGAACCGACGCCAGAAGTTCTCTTCACATTCTCTTCATTCTTTAAGCTTCTTACGGGCAATTCTGACACATTTATGTTGCACCGTATATTTACATTTTCCCTACGGGGTTCTCCTTTGAGTAAAAAGTGTATATAAGCACAGCACAGCCACAATTCAGCACATGGATTTATCAGACGTCAGCGCTATGTTTGACCAAACCGACAACGCATCGTCTCCGTCCAACGCCCTAGAGCACGTAGTTGGGCGGCTGCACAGCCTTGAGGCAGCCGTCAACGAACTGCTTAAGCGGTCAGAGCCGCAATCTTCCCATATTTTCTGCCCTGTGGCAGACAACCGCGACGGACACGGACACAATACGTTGCGGCGCGACCGCTTCCCTGATGCGGTTGCTAAAAGCATGCAGGTAGCGAGGCTCGGCCTTTGTGATCGTTGCCTCAAGCCTGCTCACGACGGTGACGACTGTGGTGTGCAGTGTGCAGCGTGTGGGGGACCACACAATGTGCTGCTGTGCGCCAACCGAGGACAAGGCGGCCGCGGCTTCAAACGACGACGACCATGAGGACGATGGGCAACGCGCTGACATCATGGAGAAGAAAAAAAAGAAAAATTTGGTTTTGATGTGTAAATAAATTCTAATTTATTGAGGCCGGCGGAAGTGTTCTGGCATAGGCCAGAACCCGCGGTCACCCCCGCCCCTTAGGGGCCGGGCTTAAGTATCCCTTTTTCTTGTTCACCACTCGCAACTAGGGTGTTTGCGTTCATTGCTAATAAATATATCACTGAACCACCGTATTTGTTCGTTCGCTTATCAGAGAGGCAACAATCTCTCTGATCATATAAAAGGCGCCACCCTTCCGCCTAGTCACCACACCACCCATCATGAGTGTTCCCATCCTGTCGTCTGCACTTCTACCTAGTTTAAACTTTCTGAGTTCACGGGGACAGGAGTTATGAATTTCCAAAATGTTTTCGTAAAGCACTGCATTTTTGGAGACGTCCCGCCCATCGGGGTTGGGTCTCCCAGTTGGATCTAACTTACCGAAGCACATCTCTAGCCACCTTTACACCCCAGTTTTGAAGCCGACTTGTGACTGAATTTGAAATCATGGTCCTCAGTACAGGTCATTTCGATGCTGGGCGGGGCTCCGCCAAGCTGATGTGTGCTTTATAAATCTCGGGACATGGCATCCCACGCTTGACCCGGTCTCTCCAGGCAGATCTAAAGGAGCTAAGGAATTTCAAGACAGACATTCAGACAGAACGACAGACGAAGCGCTTTACAGTAAGTGGGATATATATATATATACATATATATACATATATGTATATATAACATACACATTATGTATATACAGTCGCGGTCAAAAGTTTGGAAACTTTTTATTTTTCGATGTAGCGCGGGCACTGAATTACGTAA